TCTCCTACCATTCTGGATGGATGTGGTTTCTTTTATTCTACAGTTGTCAGACTTTCATTCATCTGGATTTCTGATGGTTGTGAGCGGTGGTGGTTCTGTTATTTTAGTTGTGATTTTGATGTGGTTTTGTAAGGAGATGAGCTGTGTTTACCTATGCTGCCATTATGACTGGAAAGCCTCATGATTTCTTAACATTCTTGGACTCAGAGTCTGATAAATTGAATCCAATTCTTTATAACAAAAATATAAGTATGAAATACTTGGAATTTATGTTTTTTATATTTTTATTAGCTGTTGAGAGAGATGTTTCTCTGTTTATTTAATTCTGGACTTACATATGTTAATGTAATAGCAAAGACAGATTATTTTTTTTCTTTTCCAGAAGTTAACTTTAAGTAATCTTGGGTTATGTTTTTGGGCATATAGAGGACCTGTTCCAAATTATTTATTCTTATACCTGAATTTTAACAGTATATGAACAAATAGGTAAAATCAAATAGAATAATCATTAAGTAGAAAGCTAGAAGAAATAGAAAGAGCTCAATAGATGGAATTTTTAGAAAGGAGCTGATAGAGCAATTAGAGAATATTGTGATATATCTTAGACCCTATTTTTTAACATGGCATAGAATGAAGATACTGTCACAAACACCCCTTTCTCTTTGACTTCAGGAATTGTGGTGGGGTGGTGCTATGAGACAGACAGTCCAATTTCTATCGTCCAGTCTTCTCTGGAGATTGGCCAGGCAGTGGTGCAGTTGGTTCAGCTGAGGCTGGGTACTTTGAGCCCACATCACTAGAACATGTATGTTTTTAGAACATGCCAGAAACTTTGTAGCAACCCTATAATTTCATTTTTTAGGTGCCCAGATGCCTTAATTAGTGTTGTAGTATGATCATATTTCAGTTTTATTAACTACTGAGTAGATAATATGAAAATTAAAATTTATGTAAGGTATAAGGAATCACAATACACTCACCACGGAGTTTATTTGTACACTCACCACGGAGTTTAAGATAAAGGACTTTCCTGATACCTTTGAAGTTCCCCTATGGGCTCCTTTGCATCCTATTCCCTTCCCTTCCCTTTTACAGTTGACACTACCCTGTGCTTGGAGTTTATAATCCCCTTGCCTTTCTTTACACTTTAGTATGTACATTTGTATCCCTGAAGAGCACTCTGTTTTACTTGGAATTACACTGCATGTTCTTTGAACCTCTGTTTTCACTTAAGGTGTGGTCCTGAGATTCATGCTTTGTTATATGTAGCTGTAAACTATGTTCATGTGAATACAGGATCCCATTATGTGAATGAACATACAGTACTTTATGTTTCTGGTGTGGTACTCGACATTTGGGCTGTTTCCAGGTGCTTACAAGCAATGCTGATAAGAATATTTACTTATAGTATTGACATTTAATAGTACAGTTTAGAAAAAGGAAGTATTAGATTTTGGAGGAAATCAGGTTTATTTGCATATGATAAAATAAGGCACATTTCTTCCCATTCCTATGGGGAAATGTCTTCAAGTAGGAGGACTAAGCACAGTGTAGACAATCTAGTCTTTTATCTGCACATCTGAGTTATTCTCTATATTTGAAATAGTGTAAGCTGGTACAGTGTCAGCCTCTGGATGGATTCGGATGGAGGTTGATGATGTTTTGTAAACATACTAAAGTCTCTTTTTAAAATGAGACCAGTAAAAGCTTTGAGGTGTATGTGTTACACAGCCTGGAAGCCGTCACTGAATCCTTAATTTGAAGCATGACATTGTGCAGTGGTGCATTCCTAGAGGGTGGTGTACAGACCAGAATCAAGGTTGTCCTTTGGGAAGCTGACAGAGTCTGTTACAAATCTAACATCCAGCTGCAGTGAGATGGAACTGAAGACTCACCAAGCACAGGCCCACTTCCAGTGAGATGGGACTGGCCACAATGGGACATGTGGCTTCTTAAGCAATTTCACTCAGACCCATGTCTGAGCCCATCAAAGTACTGAGTGGCAGGGCAGGTCAGCAGCAGCAGCAAACCCTGGGCATGCAGGCTGTGCCTGAGCTTTAAAATAAGACTTCTGACAATACAGCCTCCCTGAGCCGGCACCCGTGCCTCCTCAGCAGCCCCAGTAGAGCATGTTGAGGGGGAAGCACAGTTTGGAGAGGTGGCAGCTGTGCTTCAGGATTCCCTACTCTGAGTACGAGGCCTGGGTGCAGCCAAGTGGTTGGGCCTGCTGCTGGTGAACATGGGCTCCTGGCTGGCTGTGTGTCCCAAGGGCAGGCTCATAAACAATGACAAACTGTTTAAACAGAGGTGTGGAGATGACAGGGCAGACTTGCCTGTGTTCTCCGTGGAGGAGATGGTTGTCTCGTTATTGGTCATACCCATGAATTGGACTCCAGCAAGGCATTTATACATGTGCAGATATATATAAGTAATCTACCCCTCATTAAAACAAATTTTAGTCAAAAACCAGTAGTTGCCATGAAAATACTAAGAATAGAGCAATGTAACATTTTTAGTTTTTTTATTTTTTACCAGTTTCATCACATTTTTCTTTGGTTGGCAGAGTGCTTAAAGACTAATAATGCACTAGAACCAATAATATAATAATATCTTTAAATTCGAAAATGCCTTATAAGCAGTTAACACTATTTTCTAGTTCCTTCCCTATGGATTTCTTTCACACCATTGTGTGTTCATCTTTATCTCCTCTGAGGGCCTAGCACAGCAGAGGCTGAATGCCTCTCAATGGGTGTGCAGTACGCCACTGTTCAAGTGGACTCCCAGGGTTCATCTGTCAGTGTGTGGGAACCTCCTAGACATCTGAGGGGGGGCCCCCAAAACAGAATTTTTTAATAAAAATCATGTATGCATTCTCACTTGTTTAAACTTCAGTCACCTTCAAAGTACTCTCCATTTGATGCGGTACACCTATTCAGATGTTTTTTTTTCCAGTGCTCAAAACAGTTTTTGAACTCACTGATTTTGATACCTTTCAGTGCTTTTGCCATTTTTTGTTTCACCTCTTCCACATCAGCAAAACATTTCCCTTTGAGGACTTTTTTCATCCAGAAAAACAAAAAAAGTTGGCTTGGGACAAGATCAGGTGAATAGGGAGGGTAGGACAAGGGGATCGTGCCATTTTTGGCTAAAAACTATTGAACACTCAGCGTGGTGTAGGCAGGTATGCTCGTAAATCACCCATCATGGAACGGCCAGACATATCGAAAGAGTCTTCAAAAACAATTCACTGAAGCCAAATGTAGTCTCTCACACCACCACCAGCTGGTACACTGATACAGACAGGTCACTAGAACATTCACCTCGGGGGGGAAAAGCCTGTACGACAAGGGGCCTGTCCTCCAGAAAAATAATTTTTTTTCTTTTTGGGCCCTCCATTGTACAGTTTCCACCAACCTCTCTGCCCTTAGCAGGTTCGTGTAATGGACTAATTCCAATAAACTGAAGATACTACATTAGATCTGCAATATGTTGTCAGTTTTTAACTTTTTTTTTTGCCTGAAATTTGCCACCTTCCTGGCTTTTTATCCAATTTCCTGTTTTGCTGGGTTCACTGAGTTATATACATATGCCACTTTTTCTGGTACCAGGAGGAGAAGCTTCACAATCAGTCAGTGAATTAAAAGCATGAACCTGGAAAGGGCATAATAATAGATACAGCTGATTGGTGAAAAAGGAACACACATATGGGGTCTGAAGGGCCACAGAGAGAAAAGGTAGGGAACAGGCAGAGACGGTGCGAGGAAAGAGATTACACACATAGTGGTAAGAGTTCCCCCAACATGGAGAGAGACAATAACGTCAAAATTTTGCTCTTTGACAAGGACATGTTTCACATTACATGAAACAAAATATGCCACTTTGTGTGCATTGTTACATTTATGTAGTCATCAAAGTTATTTTTTTTTAAATGAGGTATTATTGGAATAACATTATATTAGTTTCAGGTGTACGACATAATGATTCAGTATTTCTGTATATTGCAAAGTGGTCATAATAAGTCTCATTAAAATCCATCACCATTTATACTTATCAAAATTCTTGATTCACATTTGGGGCCCTGTATAATCTGAAGGATCCTGTGAATTTTGATCCCCTCAAAGCATGAATAATATTTTTAAACAAATTACTTCGTTTATAAAATTTGATTGTTGAGTCCTGCTATTTGTAATTTATGAATGAAATACTGGATTTTCCAATACAGGATGTCAGAGAGATCTGGCGGCGACATCTGTCACCCCATTGATCGCCAGGGTTGATTCGGCTGATCTGGCTGGCTAGGCGGGTGTCCCCTTCCTCCCTCACTGATCCATGTGCGTCCCTCCCAATACAGAGTCAGAGAAAAGCATTATATTATTAGAAAAAAGTAAACTGCAAATAGACATGTTTTGAATTCTTGTCTTCAGCTTTTACGATGTTCTTTTTTAAAAAATAATAACACCCCTCTGCTTTTTAAAAAAACTTTTTAGAAAGACAGAGGAAGGTGGGAGAGAGAGAAACACTTGGTGTTCCACTTATTTATGCATTCATTAGCTGATTCTTACATGTCCCCTGATGGGGGATCAAACCTGCAACCGTAGTATATCGGGACGATGCTCTACTAAGCTACTTGGCCAGGGCTGTTCTTTTTTTTTGTGACTTATTCTTGGTTTAGGACAGTAATGAATAAAGTAATGGACTTTCCATTGCCCTATTAAGATTGTTAGATGGGAATAATCTGTATTGCCCTCTGTTGGTGATTGGTAGTTATTTTTGAGAAAATAATTGCTGCTATATATTGTCATTTATATGTATTTAATAATTGTATTAATCAGTATATTTTAAAAACACGTTTCAAAACTGATCTAATTGATGTGGCCATGAATTGGCCAAAGGAGGGAAATGGGGAGATTTTGTCCTCCTTGATTTAATAGTTTTATTGTCCAAGGTAGTGTTGAAATACTTTTGCCTTTGATTAATCTTTATTTCACTTTTCTTCTCAGAGCTCCACCTCAGATAAGGCGTCCCAATCGAGAAGTAAAACCTCTGAGGAAAGAAATGCCAGGAGCAGGAGCCCGGGGATCTGTAGGCCGAGCACATCCTATATCGAAGAGTGAGAAGCCCTCCACAAGTAGGGACAAGGATTGTAAAGCAAGAGGGAGAGATGAAAAGGCAAGACTCTCTCTTTCTAACTCACCTGGAAGCCTTTGGTGCATATTATAATTTTTATTGGCTTTTTAGAATAATCTGGTTTTGATATAGAAGAGATTAAAGAAAGGTCTGAATTAAGAAGCTATGTTGTCTTTGTATTTTGAAGGCCGTTCTGCAATACCAATAACTTCAGAACTATATTTAAAACACTCCCACACATACAACAATATTTAGTAAAATGGATCTTTTGCAGAAATATTCAAATAAAATTTTAAAACGTGAAAAAAATTTAAATTATTCTGAATCAAAATGAACAATAAATGGAAACAATTGTAGGGGAAAGACTTACAAGGAGGTAGATACATATACAGAGCAGAGCAAAAGTAGGTTTACAGTTCATATGGAAAATAATACAATAATTAATTAATAATGCAAGAATAAACTGTTTTGCATACTTACAATTGTAAACCTACTTTTGCTCTGCTCTGTTTTCACAGAATAAGAAGATGGATATGATTTAATATGGATTAAAAAAATGTTTGATTCGACTATAAACTTTTTTTGATGAGAAAATTCCCCTTAGTTAGGGTTCACTATATACATTTACTTTATCTGGAAAATTGATCAGTGAATAAACATAGTACTAGGTGGAAATTCTGTATGGCCCTTAAAATACTTTAGAAAAATGGCTGAAGAAAATCCTACAGATTAAGGAGTGAGCCAGGATGACCTGACACATCTCTTAGCCTTAATTTTAATGAAAATATAAAAATAAATCTTTAGTGATAGCATTTCCCATTTTCATTGTGATGTCATAAATGAATGATGACACTGAATTGCCGCAAAGAAGCATGGGGTTCAGGATAAATCACATTTATGCCATGATATTTATAATGGAAATATAACCAGTAGCAAGTGGTTATCCTTTAAAATTATATGCTATATTTGAACATTTTTACTATATGTACATATTCAATCAGTAGATAAGGACTCTTTACAGCCTTATGGATGTTTAGACCATGATAGAATAAAACTGGTGTTTTCTATTTCTTTTTTTTAATTATATTTTATTGATTATGCTATTACACTTGTGATTTTTCCTGCTTTGCATCCCTTCATTCAGCACCCCTCACTCCCTCAGGCAGTCGCCCTACCATTGTTCATGTCCATTGGTCATGCATGTAAGTTCTTTGGCTACTCCTTTTCCTATACTGTATTTTACATCCCCATGGCTATTCTGTAACTATCTATTTGTACTTCTTAATCCCCTCACCTCTTCACCCATTCTCCCCTTCCCATCTGGCAACCTGCCCATTAACTAACTTCCTTTCTTTTGCTTTTAAGAGTCTCTCTTTATCTTTAACTTTTGGCCTTTTAATAATTTAATACATGTCTTGAAGTGGGCCTCTTTGTATCCATCATAATTGGGACTCTGTGCTTCCTGGACTTGCCTGTCTATTTCCTTCACCAAATTAGGGAAGTTTTCTTTCACTGTTTTTTCAGATACATTTCCAATTTCTTGCTGTTTCTCCTCTCCAGAATTCTTGCACCCCTATGAGGTGAATGTTGAACCTCTTAAAGTTGTCCCAGAGGCTGTTTATGCTATCCTTATTTTTTTGGACTCTTTTTTTTCATCGTGTTGTCCTGCATGGATTTTTTTGCTTTCTTGTGTCCCAAATCATTGATTTGATTCTCAGCTTCATCCATTCTACTGTTGTTTCCCTGTGAGTTTTTCTTTATTTCAATTAGTGTATCCTTTGTTTCTCACTGGGTCTTTTTTATGTTCTGAGGTCCTCATTTAGTTCCTTGAGTATCCTTATAAACAGTTTTGAACTCTACATCTGATAGATTGCTTATCTCCATTTCGTTCAACTCTTTTTCTAGAGTTTTGATCTGTTTTTTCATTTGGGTCTTGTTTCTTTGTCTCCTCGTTTTGGCAACCTCCTTGTGTTTGTTTCTATGTATTAGGAAGAGCTGCTTTGACTCCATGTCTTGGGTAGTGTTACCTAATGTAGTAGGTGTCCTGTAGGATCCAGAGGCACAGCCTCTCCTATCACCCAAGCTGGGTATTCAAGGTGCACCCTCTGTGTGGACTGGGTACACCCTCCTCTTGTAGTTGAGCCTTGGTTGCTGTTGGCAGGTCGATGGGAGGGGTTTATCCTGGCCAGTCAGCTACAAGGACTGGCTGTGACCACTGACCACCAACCTCTGCCCTTCGTGGATGATCAGCTGTGCAGGGGCAGGGTGGTGGTGCTCTGATGTGGTCTTGTAGCTGTCCACAGGGTGGACAGGCTCTGAGGTTTCCTGGGTGGTGCAGATCAAGGTCAGCCCCTACCTGTGTTTTCCCCAGGGCCACCCTGCCTGAGCTGTACTGCAGTCTGAGATGGATGCTACTTGTGTGGGGCTTGGATAGTCCCAGGTGAAGCTAAGCTCTACCCTAATCTGGCTGCCCCTGGGGCTCACTGAGCCAACTGTTGCTTGTTTGATAGGATTTAGGAGCCACAACCAGTCATTCTTATGGAAAAGGCAGCTTGGGTGGGCCTGTAAATTGGGTGGAATAGAGCCTCTGTGGGTCTCCAAGGTGGTTCACACAGTGTTAGCCAGGTTGATGGAGTCTCAGATATGGCACCAGCCTACTGGCTCTGTGCGGGGAGGGTTTGGCAAAGGGACAGCGGCCTCTGCTCTCCCCAATGCCAGACACTTCAGTCTCTCCCTGTATACCACTGGTGCCCTTCAAGCTGCCACCCTGGTCCTGGAGCTCAGAAGGAACGAATCTCAGTAGGTGAGTCTGTGTGTGGGTTCCCCAAGAGGAACTACTTAGGGCTTTAGCAACCTCCTGCACCAACTGAATCTCCACTGGTTTTCCTAGCCAGAAGTTGTGGGGACTTACCTTCCTGGGCCTGGAATCCTGGGCTTGGGTGCCTGGGGTGGGTCTGGGATCCTTCACTGCTGAGATAGCCCTCCCTATTTTTACTCAGCACACATGAGTATAAGATGAGCCTATTCCATGTCTCCCATCTTCCTACCAGTCTCAGTGTGGTTTCTTCTTTTTAATTCCTTAGTTGTAGGACCTGCATTCAGCTTGATATCTGACAGTTGTGAATGATGACTGTTCTATAGTTTACTTGTGAATTTGATGTCTTGGTTTGCATTTTAGAGAATAAAGTAGGGGCAAAATCTATCCCTCACTCTGCTAGCAGCCTTCAGGTGAACGTTCAGAACTGGGTAAGGAACTTGCAGTCTTCACCGTAATTTTACAGAATACCAGAGTAGAACTTTGGATATGGGTGCTTCCCTGTTAGGCACCATTCAGAGTGATTAGACAATAATTCATGAAAACATTCCCATGAAGTCTGGAGTTGTGTTCCCCCATTTTACAAATGAAGAGACTGAGGTCCAGAGAGCTAAGTAACTTGCTCAGGGCCATACAAGTAAAGAATGGAGTTTGGAGGGGAATTAGTGAAGTCGCAGATGTTTTTACTCTTCATTTTAGGACTTTTCGTATTATGCAGCATCCCTACCAAAGTAGATTAAAAATCTGGATCGGATTTGAAAGAGTCCTAGAACAATTAGGTCAATGTTGATTTTGAAATGTGATTCTTAAGCAAAAGAACAAAACAATCAGGGCAGCATTTGTTGAATGTCAAATAAACTTTTCCGGAGAATGTAAATTGGTTTTCCCATGAAAAGTTCCAAATAATTTTTTAAATCTTAGCAATTTTTTTTTTTAAGATCCTGCTTGGTCTTTATTTTTTTTTCCTCCCCCCCACCACTTTCCCTTGCAATTTAAATCTTAGCAATTTTTTCATAGACATCTAAGTACTCAGAATGTCACTGGAAAGTAAGCCCTTTATTATTTAAAAAAGAAAAAAGTACATTTATTTGAAGATAATGCTGAATTCACAGAAATTTTCAGGAATTAAATAAGGCAATATGTGTAAAAAGCTTCAAAAAGGGCCTGCACAGGTTCACTGTGCTCAAAGAAAGGTGCCATCTGTTGCTACTGCTCCGTCATACGGCTTGCAACACCAAACTAAAAATCCAAAGGTACGGGGAATCTTGGGCAAGATCTATTTTTCTTCCCCTCAGTTTTTTTTTTTAAACATTTATAAAGGTTAGTGGTAGTATAGCAGCATCTTTCAGACTTTGGACCATGACACAAAGTAATAAATTCATTTTAGATCATTAGTTAGTATACACAAGCATATAATAAGTGACTTGAAACAAAGGGGTGACAATTTTAAAAAACTCATGGAAACTTTATAAGAATTTAAAAGATGTACTTATGATTATCGTAAGCAATAAAATATTCATTAGAATTCTAGAGTCTCTAAAACTCATTGAAGGCTATGTGGGAGGTTGAAGTAATTTAGGTGAAATTGACAGATATCCACTGCCACTGAAAGCTAATTTGAAAATTAGCATTGGAAGGATCCTCAGAGGTATTGTAGTCCCCAGTGATGTTGGTTTTCAAAATCAGTTTTGTGTGTTGCAACTAGCTTTAAAAAAAGAATGAAATAGAATAGACTCAAAAGTTTAGAGTGCAGTACCCATAATAAGGACATAGTAAGGGCAGTATTATTTTGAGAAAAAAATTGAGTTATGTGAATATATAAAAATGTTGCTTTATAATTTATTGCTTATTTAATTCCTGAAAATTTCTGTGAACTCAGCATTATTTTCCTGTCCTGCGTATGAAGAAATTGAGGCATCAAAGTCATAACTGAAGTACATGATGGAACTAGGGTATGAACTCTAATTCTAATATCTGCGCTTTTAATCCTTATGCTGTACAGCTTCCTGTTTGAAAAAGCTTACTGTCTTATTTTCGTGTCTCCCAAATACTTCTTATGAGTACCAGTTCATTTTCTGAGAGTGACTAATCTTTTTTTCTTCTTTTTAAAAATACTGACAGACATCAAGTTTGGTCTGAGCTTAAAAATACTGTTTTTCATTACAAATCACGTTGTATAGTGATGTGTTTTCCTGTCTTTACAGTTTTTCACCCCTGATGCCCAGAG